TGAGAGAGAGAGAATGAGAGATAGAGAGCACAAGAGGGAAGAGGGTCAGAGGGAGAAGCTGAGCAGGGAGCCCGATGTGGGACTCGATCCCGGGACTCCAGGATCATGACCTGAGCAGAAGGCAGTCGCTTAACCAACTGAGCCACCCAGGCACCCAAATTTAAGGATTTTTTAAAAGACTTATTTATTTATTTGAGAGAGAGCAAAAGTGAGCGAGCAGGGGAGGGGCAGAAGGAGAGGGAGAGAGAGAATCCCAAGCAGACTCCCTGCTGAGTGTAGAGCCCAAGGCAAGGCTCGATCTCACAACCCCAAGATCATAAGCTGAGCTGAAATCAAGAGTTGGATGCTTAACTGACTGTGCCATCAGGTGCCCTGAAAATTTAAGTAGTTTTAAATAAAAATCTCAAAAAGCCTGTTTCTATCTGTGGTCTTGCTGGCATCATCATCCTCTATTTGTAGAGTAATATCTAAGGTACTTGGTATTGTGGCATGTATTATGGCTTGGTATTCTTTTGGGGGTAGATTTGTGGGGTTTTTCTTTTCAAATAATCGTGTGTCTGTTGATACTATCTGAAGCTATCATATGAACTTAACACTAAAAGGAAAATACCTACATCAGGAAAAAAAGAAAGAAGGCCTGTAGGATTTCTATACAACCCTGATTTATCTAATAATGAAACACATCTAGTCCTTTTTTGTTTTTAGAGATTTTATTTATTTGAGAGAGAGAGAGAGTGAGCACGAGCCAGGGAGAGGGGCAGAGGGAGAGGGAGAAGCAGGCTCCCCGCAGAGCAGGGAGCCTGATGCGGGGCTCGATCCCAGGACCCCAAGATCATGACCTGAGCCGAAGGCAGCCGCTTAATGGACTGAACCACCCAGGCTTCCTGAAACACATCTATTCTTCGTAAAGCTCACTTAAAATGAAGAACTATGAATTTATTATGGGATATTACTTTAAAGTGGAACAAGATGACCTTTTGAAAGAGAGCTTTCTAAAGCTTTACATAACATTGTGATTTTTAAAAAATTTTTTTCAAATTTTATTTTATTATGTTATGTTAGTCACTATACAATACATCATTAGTTTTTGATGTAGTGATCCACGCTTCATTGTTTTCATATAACACCCAGTGCTCCATGCAGTATGTGCCCTCCTTAATACCCATCACCGGGCTAACCCGTCTTCCCACCCCCCTCCCCTCTAACACCCTCAGTTTGTTTCACAGAGTCCATAGTCTCTCATGGTTCATCTCTCCCTCCGATTGCCCCCCCTTCATTTTTCCCTTCCTTCTCCTAATATCCTCTATGCTATTATGTTCCACAAATAAGTGAAACCATATAATTGACTTTCTCTGCTTGACTTATTTCACTTAGTATAATCTCCTCCAGACCCATCCACGTTGATGTAAAATTTGGGTATTCATCCTTTCTGATGGCTGAGCAATATTCCATTGTATATATGGACCACATCTTCTTTATCCATTCATTTGTTGAAGGGCATCTCGGCTCTTTCCACAGTTTGGCTATTGCGGACATTGCTGCTATGAACATTGGGGTGCATATGGCCCTTCTTTTCACTACATCTGTGTCTTTGGGGTAAATACCCAGTAGTGCAATTGCTGGGTCATAGGGTAGCTCTATTTTTAATTTTTTGAGGCACCTCCACATAATATTGTGATTTAAATAACTTTTTAAACCCACGGTTCGATAGAGCAATACAGATAAAGGTTGGCAGAAAAAAGAGCAGTGAGCAGCTTGAAAAGGAAAATGAGCTAAAAAGTTTTCAGAAATGAGGAAGGACTTCTGTTTAAGCTGAAAACACCAATGTGAACTCATGATGTGGAAAATATTTAAAACTATTTTTCTTTACCCTGACCCTAAATGGGCCCAAACAAGCTCTGGTATCATCCTGCCTACAAACAGTATGTGTCTGCACAACCAGCTGCTACTGTCTAGTACTATTTGTCCCTGAAAGGAACCAACGCTGCCAAGGCAGTGGCTGACTCCAAGTCTTGGAGCAGGGACAAAAACAAAATCCGTCGAAACATAGATGCCTTCCAAGATGTTCACGCTAGTGCTAAGAAGGAAAAGGAAAAAACTTGACAGGCCCTCTGATGGCCACATTATGAGAATTTGAGCCTCTGGCACCATCACCTCCACAATGAAGTAGATGAAATTAGCTAAGTCCAAAAAAGGCATAAATCCCTATGTCCACAATGATGCTGTGTACTAAGACAGGCATGCAGAAGGTACTGTTGGCAGAAAATGCGTTCTACTGATCTACCCACTCAAGGTTTTGATACCACTTAAGGATATAATTCGTTTCTTCCCTCTTCTTGTGTAGAGAGAACAGTGTCAGCAAATTGTGACTGGCACCTTTTTTACTAAAAGAAGTCAAAAGCTCCAGGAACCTTTGGTAAAAGATAAACTACATATGGAACATGGAATTATCATTTGATGTTTTAATTTTGCTGTCAAGGACACTAAGATGTATACATCTCAACTTAAATATGTTAATGGGGCTAGGACTGTATCTTACCATGACCAGTCATTTCTGTTGCCTGGGAGGTTTATCAGGACAGGCAATCTAAAATTTACACAAATATACTTTATAGAGACCTTGTTTTTAAAAAGTACATTATTTATTTAAAAAGTTTGTCTCTAGATTTTTTATTTAGAAAGAGGTATTAAATCTTTCTGTATCTTCTTCCTCTCTCAAAAAAAATCCACATTAAGTGTCTGTTTGCTTGTTTTGTTTATTTTATTGAAGTATAGCTAAATAGGAAAAAGTTTCCCTCTGCTGTATTAAGGGCCATTCACTGTAATCTAGTCCAAGTCATTAGGGCTCCCTTGCCTCTATCGTAGTATTCTATTGCTAACAAAGGCACCCAGGATAGAGCAAGAAGGGGAAATATCTTACCTGACATCAATCTTAAAGTTTTTTATTAGCCATCTGTGACTGTTATTTATAAATTTCACAAATCCTTCTTGAACTCACATAAACAATGTATGCCTATACCATTACTTGAAGTTAATTAAGTCCCACAGTTACCTTGTTTTCATTTGTCCAAACTTATCTTTTTTTTAATTTTAATTTCAATTAGCCAACATATAGTACATCATTAGTTTCAGATGTAGTATTCAATAATTCATCAGTTGCGTATAACACCCAGTGCTCATCACATCACGTGGTCTCCTTAATGCCCATCACCCAGTTACCCCTTCCCTCTACCCGCCTCCCCTCCAGCAACCCTCAGTTTGTTTCCTGTAGTTAAGAGTCTCTCATCGTTTGTCTCCCTCTCTGATTTCTTCCCATTCAGTTTTCCCTCCCTTCCCTGATTGTCCTCTGCGCTATTTCTTATATTCCACATATGAGTGAAACCATATGATAACTGTCTTTCTCTGACTGTCCCAGACTTATCTTAAACTTATGAAAGGTGCCTCTCTTCCTAGAATTTTAGAAGTTCTTGAACAAGCCTGTGCTCAATCTAACCTGGGTCTTTTTAGATGAAGGGCATATTCAGCCTTTTGGCCTCCACTTCTTTACCAGGACTGCCATCTCTCCTCCCAGTCTAGGGGATCTTCTCTGGCTAGTCCTTAGCTCCATTATGTCCTTTTGAAGATGTGCTTGCCAAAGTTGCACACAGGATTCCTCATGAGGAAATGCCCTAGATTTACATAAAGGTATGATAACCATTGCTGGTCTTCAATAACTCATCGATGTACAATGTTGTGTTGGGATCTTTGTCCTCATTAGAGTACAAAGCTGTTGTTCTCTATACCCTTAATAATTTACAGGGCCTTTTCAGAGTTACAGTTCTGGAATATTTAGAACTCTTTTCAATTCCTTTTAAACACTCTACTGCCAATTTTAAAATCAGTCTACAACTTGTCGTTGTTCAGGAACACAAATGTTTAAAACCTTCCTGTTATCTAGATCTACCACTTGTGGCTCTTCCCTATCTGAAAGATTTTTCATAGAGTTATGTCTCCAGTTCACATATAAAAATGCTAAGTAATTCCAGTCCTAGCATGATATCAAAGACTTGATCCACCGTTTACATTTCTTTATCTATGAAATCACACTTTTATCCCTACCCTTTGTTTCCTCTCTTCTCCCTTCCCCTCTCTTCTCCTAATTCCATGGTGATTTAGCAGAACACTCATTCATTCGTGAAATATTTATTGGCATCTACCCTGTGCTAGGTACAAGAGCAAGGTGTTAAGAATATAACAAGATAAACACAGTGTCCCTGCCCTAAAGAACCTCTAGTGATTCTTTATTTACTTGCCTATTTTACACCTCAGAAACACTAGCTGGGCACAGGTTTTTTTAAACTCATAAATCATTTTTCTTCTAAAAGAGTATTTTTTATGTTCTTGGTTTTAGAATTCAAAGGTTTACCACTGAGGATGGTGAGGATGAAACTGAATCACTTGTACCTTCTCGAATCTTTTTAGGTCTTCACTGCCCAATTCCGTAAGCACCAGTCCCATGGCTATTTAAATTAATTACAATTAAATAAGATTAAGAATTCAGTTTCTCATTTGCACTAGCTACATTTCAGGTGCTTAATGGCTAAGGTGGCTAATGGCTACCGTATTGGCAGCATAGATTTAGACCTTTTCCGTCATCACAGAAAGTTCTAGCTGAGAGCACTTCTTGTACAGTTCTTATATAAGGGGTGACACCATGGCCACATATAAAAATAGGTTACACATTTTGGCAAACAATGAATGACTTTTTTATTACTCACATGATGGTACCTGGTGCTAGTAAGTCACTTAAATTCTTTTTGTCATTGTAGTCTAAACTATCTTAAATACAGACCACTATTGAATATAGTTTTAATTATGATGTAAACCAAAAAATCATTTCTTCTTTTAATCTTATTTGTAGCAAAATACATAACTGGAAATGCATAATGAAAGTACCTAAATAATAGCAATAATGAAATAAATAATCAATTCAGCATGGGAAACATCATCAAGAAACTTACCCTCCTTCACTTTCTGCTTCCTCTGAACTATTGCTTGTTCCAGAACTTTGAACTGTGGCAAGCCTTCTTTTTCTACCTCTGTGCTGAGGACTTATCTTATGAACAGTTATCCTCCCTCCAAGTTCACCTTGTATATATCCCTCCAGCTTTGGAATGGTTTCTTTAAGAACTCTGATTTCCTCTTTGAGTTCTTCCATATTTGTCAGTAATTCGTTTAACTTCTCCAATATCTGAAGCTGCCTTCCTTGAAAGATTGCGGCTGTTCCTTGGCCATTACACATTTCATCTTGAAAAGTCACGGAATCAAACTTATTATCCAGGGAAAGAAAGTTAGGTAAATTCAATGTTGTCCTTGATTTACGAACCTTGTGGTACCACAAAAGAAGCAAGCTGATTCCAGTAGTTCCCACCATGATGCCAAGTATCAGTTCTTTGTTTGTGGAATGAGGCATTTCTTGGGTTTTGTTTCTAAAATTGAAAGCATAAATGTAAATGAATGTAGTTTCTGTCTTCGCCCAAGACAAAAATATTAAAGCTTTCTCAATCAAGAGAAGTCAAGTCTACATCACAGACACACACACACAAACGATAAATCATAAACTAAAATTTATAAATAATAATAAGTATAATATATTTACCCCTAAATTGTATGTGGCCCCATCGAAAGATTTACTTTAAGGATATCACTGAAGTCCAGTGTAAAGTTTCAATTTTAATTCAGAATTTGTATTCTACATGACTGATCTGAATTTTTAAAGAGTATGATGTATAGTGGTAAAAGCATCATTATACATTTCTGGAAAAAAAAAGCTATTTGAGAATTCAAGTTGTGCTTAACTGTGTTTGTACCCTTTATCTGTATAAAATTAGTATGCTGATTTCTGAGTCTTACCCAATCTTTAAGGAAGTCCAAGGAGCTTTTTCTTAGTACCCAGTTCACACATATACTTAGAGTAATAAACATTTTAAAAGCCCAAGGATTTGGAATATAAAATATATCAGAGAGCTCTGGCTCTCTGTTTATAACCCACCTCATCTCTTTTTTTTTCAGCATGCAGAGCAAAAATGCTAACACATGCAGGCTTCATCTCCTTTCTTCTTTTGACCCAGAATGACTCTGCTCTTTACATTTCTATTTCTGCCTGAGGTCTTAATATTTTTATTTTCTTTCAAATTTTCCTCTTTTTTAAAGTAGCAAAAATGTCCTTTCTTTGACTCTTCTTTCCATCTGAACTTTCACTGTTTTACATTCAAGGCTCAAGCGTTAGCCTGCCTAATTCCACATAAACTCAGCTACTCTGACTAAATGCACCATAATTTTTCTTTGGTATATTCCATCTTCACAAGTTTTATTGTTTATCTCTGTTCTTAAAATCAGAAGACCATTAATGGAAAACAATAGTATAATATAATTCATAATATATTATTAAACATATATATTATATACAAATATATATTATATAAATAAGTATATAAAATATAATAATATAATGTAAATATAATATTTATAATAATATAAAGTCCTTTCCCTTCCAAGACTTTAAAATGGCAGTATGTTAGTACTGTAATAAACTTCTGTGTTTAGAATAAAATATAGCGAGGCTTCTTTACACACTTTGAAGTTCCCCAAATTATCTTCCCTTCAATATCCAGTACTTTGCAAACACCAGTCTGAACATGCATAGTCAAACCCCATCAGGACAGGCAAATGAACAATTTCCAGGAATCTATAAACCTAACTATTCCTAAAGATTATACAAATTCCCCCCAGCCAGAGTAGAGAGTGTTTACCAAATATCTGAGGTTTTCAGTAGAGATCTCAGAAGGGTAATGCCTTGGAAATGAGGCCTAATTAACCCTAGAGTTAAGATCTATTTAGACTTGCTCTAAAACAGATTAAAAACGAGCCTCCAAAGGATCAAACTAATTCACAAATAATTTAACTGCATCCAAGAGAAAGTCCAAAACTCTTTAAAGGAATTGAAAAAGTTCAGAACGCAATGACATAAAATTGCAATGTTGATCATCCAATCAAAAATTACTCAATACATAAAGAAGCAGGAAAATGACAGAGATGATGTAATTAGCAGACAGGATGTTAAAACAACTATTACAAATATGTCCACTATTTAATATAAATATTAAAAATATGTTAAAGAAACACATAAACGTGATGAGAGAAATAGAAGGTATTAAGCAGAACCAAATAGAACTTCTAGAGATGAAAAATAAAATATCTGAAATAAAATTTTATTGAATGAGATTAATAGAAGAAAAAGCATTGTGGAGAAAAAAGTCAGCAAACCTGAAGACAAAGCAACAGAAACCATCTACTAAAGACTAAATGTTTGTGTCCTCTCTAGATCCATATGTTGAGATCTTAATTCCCACGGTAATAGTATTAGGAGGTGGGGACTTCAGGAGGCAGTCTTCATAAATGAGATTAGGGCACTCATAAAACAGAACCCCCAGATACCCCTCCACCCTTCCACCTTGTAAAGTTATAAGGAGAGGGTGCCATCTATGAACCAATTGGCCTTCATAAGACAATGAATCTGCCAGTGCCTTGATCCTGGATTTCCCAGGTTTAGAAATGTGAGATATAAATTTCTGTTGTTCTGTAATAAATCTTCTGTTGCCACCCAGTCTATGGTATTTTGTTACAGCAGCTCCAATGGACTAAGACACCATATAAAATGAAACACAGAAATGAAAAAATTTAAAAAATTTTAAATTTAAAAAAATTTTTAAAAATTAAAAACTATGTGTATATACATACACCACACACACATATTAAGACTAAGAAACAAAAAAATGAAAAGCCAAGCACAGCCTATGGCAATATCGAGCAGTCTAAAACATATATAGTTCAAGTTATAGGGACGAAAAAGGGGTATACAAAGTATTTGAAAGAAAAATGGCCAAAAAATTTCCAAATTAGACAAAAACACTGAAAACCAGTGATAAAGAAGGAATCTTAAAAGTAGTCAGTGGGGAAAAATGACATCATGTTTACAGATAAAAAAGGATAAGATTACAACACACGTTGTCTCAGTGAATCACCTTAGAAACTATTCAGACAAAAAAAAAAACCAATGGAGTGTCATCTTTAAAAGTACTGGAAGAAACTGTCAACTTACATTTCTATACCCAGTGAAATATTTTCCAAAAATGAGGGTAAAACAAAAATTTTTAAAGTGGTTATTTTTTTTTAAAGATTTTATTTATTTATTTGTCAGAGAGAGAGAGAGAGAGTGCACAAGCAGGTGGAGGGAGAAGCAGACTCCCGGCTGAGCAAGGGGCCCAATGCCAGACTGGGGCCCAATGCCAGACTCGATCCCAGGACCCCGGGATCATGACCTGAATCCAAGGCAGACACTTAACGACTGAGCCACCCAGGCATCCCAAACAAATACTTTTTTAGACAAAGAAAAGTTGAGAGAATTCATTGCCATCAGACACACACTACAAGAAATGCTAACAGAGGTTCTTCAGGCAGAAGGAAAATGATAACAGATAGAAACCTGAATCTACACAGAAGATGAATTACATCAGTAGTGGCAAATATGAGGGTGAATATGAAAGTCATTTTTCTCACTTTAAGATTCCTTTATAAAACATTCACTTATTATAGCAAAAATGGTGTTAACCAATCATGGTGTTTATAACATATGTAGAAGTAAAAACTGAGGACAACAATAGCCCAAAGTATGGGAGGGGATAAAATAGGACCTACTGTTTTAAGGGTCTTGGATTATAATGCAGTGTCATAATAGTAAGTTAAAGATGCACAGTTGTAAATCCAAGCGCAAACACTAAACAAACAAGAACAGTTTAAAAAACTCCATAAAGGTATAAATAATAAGCCAAGAGTGGAGATAAAAATGTAATAGTAAAGATATTCAATTAGTCCAAAAGAAGTCAGAAGAGGGAGAAAAAAGAACAAACGGGCAAACAGCAAGGAAGGAGAGAAGAAATGATGTCATGACTATATTGGAAAATGGTGCCAAAAAGATGGAGAAATAATAGCATTTCTATTTGGGCATGGACAAGATCCAATTTTTTTTAAAAAGGAAGATAAAATGATGAAGTAAAAGATCAGAGAATCACTGCAGCAGTAGACTTGAGAAGGCAGAGGGACGGATGGTCTGCAGGACACAGGCACAGACGTTGACCTTTGATGGAAACACAAACCGTTCATTCATAGGAATGAAAGAAAAGGCAGATTATGTGAGCAGATTCAGGAAGGTGGGCAGATGTGACAGTGGGAGCTTATGAAAGTTCTCTGTGGTTGCTTCAACAGCTGAGCGTGAGAACAGGGGAAGGAGCACTGGAAAGATGGGAATTCTGAATTCAGTTGTATACCTGAAACGTACCTTCCTATGGTCTATATCCCATGATCCCACATACTTGAGCAAGCCATTGTTTCTTATACTCTAAATGAGCAACTAAAAGTGGTGCTTCAAATGGTGCCACATGGGAGAGGGAATAAGATTATTTCCAAGAAGTCTGCCTAAGAGAATGTCTTCTCAGATTCCTTAAGTAATATATTTAGAGGATATGCATTGAATGCAGGGAGGATCCTATATGGATGCTCCACTTCATTACAGGTCTCAGTGTAAAAGAGAAGGACTAATGATTTTAAAATAGTAACTTTCCAGAAATTACCTCAGATGTTGGTGAGTATTATATCCAAGAGAATAAGAATCCCTTCTTCTAAAGCCAAAGATTCTAGGAGAAAGGCTGTGTGCTTAATCTGGCCTGCCTGACCTCAGGGAAGTTTGCCTGGAATTAATTTTTTTTAAGCAAAAAGCATTTTTACCTAATTGGTAGAACGGAACTGTAAGTCTAACCATTCGTCCTCTCCTATCCCAAACAGGAGACAGGCCAGCAGTAGATTGGGATCAATTCAGCTGAAGTTGTGGGTAATTATTATTAGCTGTATACTTACTTCCATACAAAAAAAATTTATCACCAAACTAAATTATTTTGAAAGATTATTGCAAAAAGGCAACAGATATTAAGAAAAGTCATTACGTGCCCATGACTTCCATTTGCATTACCTTAATAACCATGCATCAAACTTGATCTTCTTGGCTTTTTGTCAATAAAAAGATTAACGCAGAATGTTCATATGCTGATCCAGAGGTCTATTAAAAGAAATCTTCCTATTCTGATTGCTTTCCTGGCTCATTCCTGCTGGGCCTTCCTTGAACTTTACATGAAAAAACATAGCCTAGTTTGAAATTATTTTCATTTAATCAAGTAAATAAATGGAAGTCAAAGTCTACCTAGGACGGCGATCTTATCCCTGAGACTGCCCCAGGTTTAAATAGGTGGCCAGGAGCATGAATTTTTGTTTGACCTTTTCTTTAGGAATTATACCAATTCCAAATGATCTCTTGGAGGCAGGTCCTAGTATTATCTCTATGGCAGATAAGCAAACAGGCATCCAGCTGTCAAGTCATTAACCCAGGGGCCATCTGACTAGGGCAGGAAAACTGTTACCCTGATAACTCCTGGATGTACTGCTGCATGAGGAAGATTCAGAAAGCATCCCTAAGGCTACGAAGGAGGATGCTGAACTGCGCACAGAGATGTTCAGGATTTCAGAACTATAAAAATCAACTGGGGGAAAAACTAGAATCAATCAGTGGAGCAGGTATTGCTTTTAAATAGCCACTATTAGAGACTAATAGAGCAAGCTATGTTTCAATTTTGTATGAGTATAAGATACACCTGCTTCTAAACCACCAATCTGAAAAATGCCACTCATTAAAAATAGTAACTAGCAGCGGCACCTGGGTGGCACAGTTGGTTAGGTGCCAGACTCTTGGTTTCCGCTCAGGTCATGAGCTCAGGGTGGTGAGATCGAGCCCCTCCTCAGACTGACCTTGGAGTCTTAAGACTCTCCCTCTCCCTCTCCCCTCTGCCCCTGTCCCCTGCACTCACTCTCTCTCTCTAAAAATACATAAATCTTAAAAAAAAAAGTAGCTAGCAAAGTAATAAATCAGAATACTTGCTTACCTGCAGTATAATTTCAAAGGTTATATTACATTTTTATGTAACTTCTATATGTTTAATTATCAAATTAGTGTACACTATACTTTAATATAAAAACACGTAATTAAAAAATGTATTGACTATTCAAATGTTAAGTATTATTCCCCTTACATGTTTCATTTGTAAGGTGCTAGTAATGATAGAAAATGAGACATTATTTTAATAAAAAATACTGGCATCTACAATTAATGGGTAATACATAATTATTTGCAGATGAGAACCAAGAATCCTACTGAAGTAATAAATCACCAAAATGTTAACGCTAAAGAAATTTCTACATTAAAATTAATTTTTAGAAATGGAAATTGTGCTTTATCAAATTACAATGTTTTCAGCAATATCTAGCAACATATATTCATTTAACTCATCAGCAGAATCTTAGGGGGAAGCACATAAAAAGGTAACTCTGGTACTTGGAAGATGTATGAAAAATTTTGCAAGAAGGGGAAAGGAACATCATGGGTTACACACAAGGCCTGAGGTTTGTTTCCCAAAGGATTACCTCTGAGACCATGAATTGGCAATCAGATTCCTCACAGCGACCTGGATAACCTAATACTTTCTAAGTGAATTCAAATACTATTTCATCAGGTTCTCACTATTTTCCCTGTTTAATAATTTCTTTTAAACTTAGGGCTCGCTGATGTTTGGCTTATTTGCAAATGTTTGTGACACTGAAAATCTGGCCTTCCTTTTATAGTAAAATAGGTAGAGGATCGGAGTCAGAGCAAAACACAACACAACACAAATGTTTGCCGGAGGCTGAAAGGTAAGACCCAGGAGCGGAGGATATGAGGCGACCCAGTGTCTCCGGCGGCAACTCCTCCGGTCTGCAGGGACCCGCCGGGCCGCGGCACCACACCGTCAGCTCCCCACGCACCCACTGCGTGGAAACACCTGCGAGCTCCAGGACCGAAGCTTCCAGACCCCTGCTCGACAGGGCTGCTCCGGCAGGGGAAAGCCACCGCCAGCCGACTCTGCCACCCGGAGGGCGCAACGCGGCGCCCGCCGGCGGAAGGATGCCCCGCAGAGAGTCGGCGGCGGTCACCCCGCGAGACCCGGAAGCGCCGCGGCGGTCGCCGGAAGTGCCGCCTCAGCCTTCCGCACCCTGGGCGCGTCGGGCCTCCGCCCGCCGAGCCGCCCACTGCCCACCTCCGCACGCACCTGAGTTCGCCGCGCGGGCCTCTCCGCCGTCGGAGAACGGGGACCCGGGACCTGCTGTCGGGCGGACGGGAGCGGAGCGGCGGACGGCGAAGAGCAGCCCGGAGCCCGCGGGTCCCCACGTCCGGCCCCGCGGCCCGCCGTGTCCTGACCCAGAGAGCGGAGGCGCCGGGGGAGGAGCCCGCGGCCGCTCGCCCTACGGCTCCCGCCTCTTCCCGCGGGGGGTTCGACTTACCCGGGCCGGCGCCCAGCGCACCTTTTCCAGGAGGAGAATGCGCTCCGCCGGCGCCTCGGCCCGCACCGCATATTGTTGCCGGGATGCCGCCGTCCCTCCAAGCCCGTCTCCCCCGGGCCCCCGGTCCTGGCTCTTTCCCGCGCCCAGACTCACCCCTCGCCCTGTATACCCTTCTTTGTTCCCCCTCCTAGGCACAACCTTGAAGTTCGATCTGCACTACAGGGTAGCGCAGACGTCTAACACTAATAACTAATCGTGTCCGAAACCACGTTTCTTAACTTTAACTCACGTTCCATTTTAATGACTAAAATCCCCAACCTCTTCATACCCCCACCATTCTGAGTTGCCTTTAGCTGAAAACCACAGGCTTCTCAGATCCCTAACAGAAGAGATTTTACCCAACTTCACTTTCTGTGGGTTGTACGATGAAAACAAACTCTGCCAAACAAAAACAGCACTCCTCTCTGTATTGCCCCCACTTTAAGCTTTAAATTTAGACTTGCAGAGAACTTAGTCTTGATTACTAATTCACCCACCAATGTACTGAATGGAATTAAAAACGGATCACTCCTATTTATAAAAAAAAAAAAATCTTGCTCTATGAAAAATTAAAAAGCTTATTTTATCATCTATACAATGCTATTTACTGATGGGGATTCTGTAGAATCCTTGAGACTATAAGGTGGTTTTTGAGTTTTAAGCAAGCTGCATTAAAGAACTAAGCCTAGCCATAGCGACAGTCATTTTATTAAAACAAAGTTATATTTTGGAAGACAGCAGGCTAACACTTCTAAGATTTGAAACTAGCTAGAAGAGCACTCCATTCCAAAAACCACTTTGACTCTCATTTTATGGTTTGCAAGGATATTACCATATAATGCTAATATTTGTTTTGTTTAACCAGAATACAATATACTATAAACCTGTTATGCAGGGTGATCGTAGGGGTTTTTGTTTTTGTTTTTTTAAATACGATTTGGATACTGTCTCTTCTATAATACTTAAAAGAAGCTTAAAGCACCTTGCGATTTAAGCTTTTCCAGAAGCAGCCCACTGAGTTGTTCACTGCTATGTCCTCAGTGCACAGCACAGACGAGACCCTCAATGAAAATAGGGAGTGTGAGCTGAGAACAAGGCCTTACCAACTCTGCTCCAAAAGGAAGATGGCAGCTGGTACTGACTTGTTCTTCAAGTCCAGGAAGTAGGGTAAAATAGCCGGACTCCTGTAGCCTACATAACACTGGTCCCTCTCCCTGCCGCCAGTATCGTTGATTCTGTTCCTTGCTCAGTAAAAATTATCTGAGAGGTAGAAACTGAGATAGTGGTAGCCATTGACGTTTGGTAAAGTTAAAACTAAACAGCCCAGAGAGGAGCAATCCTTGCCAGGTACTGTTGTAGGGATAACCTAAAAAAGAAGAAATGACTCCCCCACCCTTACTCGAGTGTAGCGTCAAAGGCACTACTAAAGGGGGTGTGGGAAGCAACCGTTAGGAGTTTCAAAGTTTCTGTTTGCCATAGACAAATGTTTGTGTTCCTCCAAAGTTCATATATTTAAACCCTAATCCCCAAAGTGATTCGATTTGGAGGCGGGGCCTTTGGCAGATAATTTGGTTACAAGGTTGGAGCCCTGTGAATAGGATTCTTGCTCTTAAAAGAAGACTAAGAGGCCAGAGCTGTCTTTTTCTACCATGTGAGGATACATTGAGAAGCCAGCTGTCTGCAGCCTGGAAAAGGACTCTTACCAGAACCCAACCACACTGGCACCATGATCTTGGATTTCCAGCCTCCAGGGCTGTGAGAAATAAGTGTCATTTAAGCCACCCAGCCTATGGTAATTTGTTATAGCAGCTGGAACTGATGAAGACACTTTTCTCCGTCACAACTAGCACAGTGCTACAATGATCTGGCCCTTCACAGTTTGTCCTCACCTGCTTCTCCAGCTTTTCCCTACCAGGCATCATCCTATACTTCAGCTATAGCCAAACTGCCTTATCATCTTTCCATAAGCCACAGATTTTCCAGTCTCTGTGTACTCTTCAGGATGCTCTCTGTGCCTGGAATGCCCTACTGTTTACCGCTTGTCAAAACCAATTCATCCAGTTTAATCTGCTTCCCTTGAGAAGCTACTCTGTACATTTTTCTCCTCCCCAAAATATGTATCCATCCATGCCCCCATCAAAACTTTTGTGGAAAGATAAGGATTGAACAAACACAAAACCCCTCCCTGCTGCCTTGCAGACACCTCTCTCTTGTACACTGTGTTATTACTACTTGGTCAGTGACTATCGGGTCCTTGAGATTGGGACCCTCTTCAAGGCAAGGAGGTATCTATCTTGGTATCCCCAGTGCCTGGCGCAGTGCACATACTCAATGTTAAATAAATATTTTGAAAAAAAAATTTTTGAAAGTAATATGTATAGTCAAGAGAAAAGCATTAAGAACTTCGTAGTCCTTCCTGTGGTAAAGCGTGTGTTATGGGTTTATCAGGGTTTTTTTTGTTTTGTTTTATTTTTTTATTTCTTGGGTTTTATCTAAGTGGTTTTGTTTCCAGGAAGCAATTGAATGACCACTTGGTTTTAGTCCTGTAACAGTTATCAATCTACTCTATAGTTAACTATTCTTATATTTCCTTGTATAATTATTTCCAAATCTTTTTATCACCTATCAACTTACTCAGGGAACAGACCATTAAGGGTGAAGAAACTGTTTAGTTAGAAGGCAATCAAGGGTTTTGCCTCCATTTCCTTGAGAAGCTATACTCTTCTTTTGTTTTAGAAATTTGATCTGGATTTTACTTTAAGGCTCAGGAATTGGTGATGGTCAGACAGTGCCATTTACATTCCAATCTATTATATTTTTGCTCTTGGAGTCTTCTAATTTACAACCTGAATTTCTGTGAACTGTAGGTTGAGCTGTAAATATAATAAGTGCCACCATGTCACCACCAACTCCTACCTCAAAACAGCAACACCTAACCTTCTTCTCCAGGCCAGGGTCAAGGAAGTATTTTGTTGCTAAATAACTGAAGACATTATTTTAAAATTAAGAACACAACCACCATGAAGAGGGAGAGAGGTCCATGGCTGGCTGCACAAAGAGCAACATGGAGGAGCCAGTCAGCATGACTGAAGCTCCAAGTTTCCCAAATCAGACCTGGAGACCAGAGGAGAGCCAACAGGAACAATGGCCACGGCAAAAGTACTGATTGCATCTTACCCTCACTCCATTCCTGCTTCCTTCTTCAGATGTGAATCATCTTATTCCATTTTCCCAGCAGTCCAGTGAGACAAGTAATGTTTCGGGTAAGGAAGCGGAGGCTTGCCAAGGTGAAGAAACTTGGCCCCAGTCACATAGTCAGTTTTAGAAGCAATAATCAAACCTAGCCTTGACTACAAGCCTTTCCTCTCAACCACACCCTGTGAGGCCGGCCATCCTGATGCCTGATAGAACATTCGAAGGAGGCTCATCAGAACACCTCTCATAAGCACATCCCAGAAGTCTGCAGGTGATATTGTCCTGTCTGCATCTCCCAAGTCAGTTAATGATGGGGTTCAGCCTTCACTGCTCCTCTTACAAGAGGGCCTGAATATCCAGATCAGAGCACTCTACCCCATGGGGAGCATCTCTCGAGAGGTTAATCATTATCTGTAAGCCACAGGGTACATACAGAATTATGGTGGATCTGGCATGTTCAGGTTAGGCTAGGAATAGACTTGGGGAAAAGAGGAAAAATAACGCTGTGTCTAATGCAAGTGGGGTGTTTGGGGGGCATTTTTACTTTTAGGGGACCCCCAGAACACAAGAAAATTACCCCCCAAATTATGAAATTACTCTGAAATTACTATGACTAAATTGGACCCTCTGAGGGAAAAATGCTTTCTTTGGAAAAGGCATAAAAGTAAGTTTATTAACTGTTTCCACAAGACTAAGTAATTAGTGAATAAACTATTAATCACTTAAATACAATAAAATAGTTGATCCAGTATTCCTGTGCCGAATAAAACTTAAATGGTATTTTAGAAAAATACATAGGAAAGAAAAATTAGCAACAATATTTATGTAATACTACTTAGCAATCCAATGTTGAAACCATTTATTAAAAATATGATGACATCGTTGAAATATGGAATTCTTATTTGAAACTTCCTGTTTGGCTAGGAAAATTAAGTTTTTGTTCAGTGAAGAAACAGTCATTTTCAGAAAGGCATATACTTTGCCTGATTGATACCAACCTTGCTTGATGATCAGCAGTTTTTCTGGGACACTTGAAGATAGGAATGAAATTTCTTCAGTAATTGCAGAAGGCTTTCTAAGTCACATTCTTACTCTGGTTTCCTGTAGGCAGCCCGTTCAAAGCACAGCCCTTGGATACACTCGAAAATGGAACTCAACAGATTCACAGTAAAGAGGAATCTTGCCCCTCCCTTCTGCATGTTTTCTTCATCTTGAGAGAAAATGTTCAGGGACATTCTTGATGATTTGTATGTCAACTTCACAAGCCAAGGTCAGTTTCCTTGTGGCAGGTTCAAAATAAAGTCAAATGTTCATCAGTTAGGCAAAATATTGTTACAATACATGTATGTACAAATTAGTTAAAATACCGGGATAGTTTCAATTATACATAAGTAGAACAAAAGATTTCATTTTGAACTTGGGTAGTAAGTCAATTTTGTACAAGGTTCTGCTGGAGAAAGTTTAGGTTAGCAGTTTCCCAGACCCACTATCCTCAGACTATAGAAAGACAAGTTATTTTCTACTTAGCAGCAGATCTCTTTCAAAAAATTGTTCAGTCGAGACAGCCTCTTGTACGCAAATAAATCTATAGGAAGAATCCACTCTTGCGTCCCAATAGAGACACATTAATTCACCAACCATTGTTAAAACCTTTT